AAGTGCTAACCTAGTCTATCAAGATGTTTATGAGATAGGTAGCACTACTCCAAGTGTTGAAGCAATGACGAAGATCATGACAATGGTGATAGCATGGTGATGATCAAATGCTTGAACTTGGAAAAGAAGAAAGAGAAAAACAAAAGGCTCAAGGCAAAGGTATAAAATATAGGAGCCATTTTGTTTTAGTGATCAAGACACTTAGTGAGTGTGATCACATTTAGGATAGATAGCCGTACTATTAAGAGGGAGTGTAACTCAGATCGAAATGCGGTTATCAAAGTGCCACTAGATGCTCTAACTCATTGCATATGCATTTAGGATCTAGTGGAGTGCTAACACCCTTGAAAATATTTGTGAAAATATGCTAACACATGTGCACAAGGTGTTTGCGAGGGGTTGAGATGGGTTTGGGTCCCTCTCTCCCTCCCCCCGAGCTTGTGAGGCGGGATTAACGCTTTGGAAAAATGAAATGTCTATTTTCTATTGCCTTGGGATGCAAAATTCTTAGTGGTTGGCACATTTGAGCAAGGGTGAAGAAGTTAGAGTTGAAATGGAGTTGGTCGAAATGATGTCTTTGGCGTCGGTCTGTGTGGATATTTGAATCAGTAAGCACCGGACGACCGATCGTCTCGTCCCGTCTCAGAGACCTACTGACTTCGGCAACACAAGAGGGAAGGTTGAGCACCGACGCTGGTCTGCGGTCCGGTCAAGGTGGACGGACGCGTCCGTCGAAGAAATACGCCTCGGGAGCTTATTGAACGCGCCGGACACTTGGGGCTTCAGCGTCGGTCGATTCAAGGAGCAGCGTCCGGTCGAGGCCGATGACCGTTGAGTCTGGACACGTGGTCGACATCAAGCTCCCCGACGCCGAGAGAGAGCGTCCGGTCGGTCGACCCGGAGCGTCCGGCGTCCCGGCCGTTTTGCTTTGATGAAAGGAAGGGTATAACGGCTCTATTTGATGGGGGCTCTATTTATAGCCCCATGGCCGGCTCAATGGACAACTCTTGCACATTTTCATTGACATAGCAACCTTGTGAGCTTAGCCAAAGCCCTCCCACTCATCTCCATCATTGATCCATCATCATTGTGAGATTGGGAGAGAATCCAAGTGCATTGCTTGAGTGATTGCATCTAGTGGCACTTGGTATTCGTGTGTGCGTCATGGATTTCGCTTTGTTTCTCTTGGTGGTTGCCACCACCTAGACGGTTGGAGCAGCGGTGAAGGATCGGCACGAGTTGGTGATTGTTCGTGGCACGCCGGTGATTGTGAGGGGGGAGTTGTACCTTCTCCCGGAGTGCCGAAAGGTAACTCTAGTAAATTGCTCGTGTCATTGAGTTACCTCACGTGTGGGTCGGTTCTTGCGGTGTCCTATCGTGTGGGACGAGGTTTGTGAAACACCTCTTAGCCGCCGAACCACCAAGTGTTGGTCGACTAGCAACGGGACGTAAGCGTGTTGGCAAGCACGTGAACCTCGGGAGAAAATCGATTGTCTCTCTTCTTTGTCATTCTCCGGTGATTGGCTATATATTCATCTTGTGATTGGTTCATCCCCACACGTTGGTATAATCACTCTACTCGCTCATTTACATTCTTGCAAACTAGTTGATACAAGCTCTTTAGTGTAATTAGAATTGAGAGCTTGCTTTATTATTTACATTCATCTAGTTGAGCTCTTTAGAGTAGCAAGGTTGAGAGCTCTTAGTGAGTAATTACATAGCTAGTTTGTGTGCCTAAGTATTCATTGCAACTAGAATTGTTGGATAGGTGGCTTGCAACCCTTGTAGAGCTAGAGCAAGTTTGCATTACGCTATTTGTCATACTAATCAAATTGCTCTAGTTGATTTGTAGATTTTTAAATAGGCTATTCACCCCCCCCTCTAGCCATATTAGGACCTTTCATCACCTTGTGCACATGTGTTAGCATATTTACACAATTGTTTTCAAGGGTGTTAGCACTCCACTAGATCCTAAATACATATGCAATGAGTTAAAGTATCTAGTGGCACTTTGATAACTGCATTTCGATATAAGTTTCACCTCTCTTAATAGTACGGCTATCGATCCTAAATGTGATCACACTCTCTAAGTGTCTCGATCACTAAAACAAAATGGCTCCTATCTTTTATACCTTTACCTTGAGCCTTTTGTTTTTCTCTTTCTTCTTTTCAAGTCCAAGCTCTTGATCATCACCATGGCATCGCCATCATCATGTTATGATCTTCATTTGCTTCGTCACTTGGAATGCGCTACCTATGTCATGATCACTTGATAAACTAGGTTAGCACTTAGGGTTTCATCAATTCACCAAAACCAAACTAGAGCTTTCACCTAGAGCCATCATGAATAGATTGGATTTTGTTTTGATGTAAGTTTAGTTCCTGCTACTTCCTTGTATTCGTGTGTGCTAACTGGACCATCCGTTCTACTTAATTCAGGACCCTCCCTTGTGATTCAAACCTGAGCCTTTGAATCATATTTGTTAATATAGTTCTTGTTCTTGCTTATTCTTCGATTGCTTATAGGAATAACCTTAGTGGTTTGGTTGATTGTGCTTCACAAGATAAAAAAAACAACCGCAAGTTAGTGTGTTGATTGCCAAGGCACGATGTCCTTGTACGGTTGCAGTCGGGTAGTAAACATCAGTTGAATCAAAGTTATCCACCTCCACTGAAAGATCGAAACATCATACCCCATCAGAACTTTTTTTGAAAACATGGCAGGAACTCTGCCTCTCAATTAAGATAGAAACAAGAGTTTATGTACAGAAAGACCAAACTCATTAAAGCCCCCATAGGGCACAACAACACGTCACCTTGCTGCTGACTAGGTCTCATCTATCACATCCATATATGAGTTAATAGACCACATAGGCTACCTGGTCAGGGTAAACGTCTATTTAGATCTGGATGAGACCTGAACTAATTTCAAGGATCTAAAAATATATTTTGAGACTTTAGAGCAACTCCAAGAAACTCTCTATATCCTTCCTAATTGCTATGACCCAACAACTTCTTTATTACAAGGTAGCAGATGAGAATGATTCTTTAGTGTCCACACAAGATATTTAGAAAAACTGTTGAAGGAGAAAAAATATCGATAATGATACAGTTAAGACGTCCGGACGTCCGGACACCTCCCTCCGCACATTTCCGCAAGCCGCTCATTCCTCCTGTCCCCTTCCCCCACCGCGACATCTCGACACCTGTGCACCCACGCCGCAACGCTCCTCTGCCAAGCCGCGCCCCCACCCTGCCCCCACGCGCGTCGCCCAAGCCGCGGGGCCTGCTGCCTCCCTCTCCCTCCTCCTGCTCCGACGCGGCGGCGTCCCAGCGCGAGCACGAGCTTTGATCCCCGCGGCCACATCCGCAACCCCTTCCTCTTCTTCGGCCGGCCACCCCTGGCCTCAACTCCGGTGCGGGAACGGGCGTGACCCCGGCGACGTCCCCGGCGCAGGCGCAGATCCGCGCGCGGGTGCGCGACCCTACTCCGGCATGAGACGCATAGCTCCGGCACGGTGGCGACCCCGGCACGGGCGCGTGGCGTTGCCCCGGTCCAGGCCTTCCACCCGCTCGCCATCCCAGACCCCGCCCTCCGATCCCGGTCGTGCTCGTGGTGGGTTCGATTCTCGTCGGGCAGCAGCTATGGATCATAGCTGGCGGGCGGTGGAGTCGTACTGGCCATTTATCCGAGCAGATGTTGCGCTTAAAAGTGCATGTTGCAAGCGTTTGTTTCAAGTGTTTTAGATGTTTCATAGGTATGTTGCAATTATTTCCTACGGATGTTGCAAAAGTAAATCGAGATGTTGCATATGTTGTAATGGTTGTACACGTATGTTGCAAACTTTTGTTCCCAATATTTCATCTGTTTTTTGCAGACGTATGTTGCAAGTGTGTTTATCTATATGTTGCATACATTTCACACATATGCTGCAAGTGTTTTATCTAGATGTTGCGTATGTTTTGCAATGGTTTTTAAGTATTTTTCAGGTGTTTTACTAGTGTTTTAGATGCATGTTTTATGCGTTTCATCTGCCTTAAGATGTATGTTGCAAAGTGTTGTATCTGAATGTTTTAAAAGTAGATTGGGTGTTGCATCTCTGTTTTTTTGCTGCCTCCCCTTTGCGTCGGTGCCTTCTCCTCCTCCCGGCACCGGCTGGGCATCTGCCGTGCGCCCTCCCCCTCTTTCTCGATGCTGGTGTACCCACCTGCTACAGCTGCTGGCCGCGTGCATGCGCGTGAGCAGTGGAGGGGGTGTGAGCGAGGACTCCCTGCTTGCAGTCGGGCAGCGCGGGTGACGTACGGGTGGTGTGGGCCTGCGTGGGCGGGCACGGGATGCAGGTGCGCGTGGGGAGACGAAGTGTAGGCGCTGGCGTCTGGACATCCGGACGCTAGCGCTGCCAAAAAAATATAGCAAGCGATTTTTATATAAATAGCTCTCTAAATGATGATTTGGAGGATGAGCTCTCGAAAGACTCTTGAAACATGTTTTTAGAGACCTGTATGCAACTTCACTTCACCGAGTGCTGAATTCACTCTTTTACGGCGCCCATGCTCCGGCGCTCATTATCCACGTAATTTTTGCTGGCAACATATTAGGTGCAAACCAATCAATCTTACAAACTTGAAAACTACTAATCAAGATCACTAGATGCTAATCTAATGGATAGGGTGAGAGGTGTGATTTTTTTGCGCTTAAGCTCCCCACCCATCGATCTTTTTTTTTTTTGCTTAAGTCTTCTTATCCCATCCATTAGATCAGCATACAGTGGTCCTGATTAGTATTTTTTAAGTTTGCATAAATTGATTGGTTTGCACACCATCTTTTCCACGGCTAGAACCCATTCCATCCCCATCGCATAGACAGCGACAACCTTCTTGGCTGACTCGCACTCGCACGGTCGCACCCGGAACGCCGCGAATCCGGGCCCGCGGCCCAACCCAACTCAGGCAGACACTCGCCGCCGCCGCGACATCCCTAGAGGGCAAGAGGCGGCGGAATGACGGAGCGGAAGGTGGCGGAGCTGGGTCCCGGGACGGCGTGCTGCGGCTGGAACCACTGCGGCCGCCGCCTCGCCGCTGGCGCCGTCGACGGCTCCGTCTCCGTCTATGACTCCCAGCCGTCCCCCTCGTTCAAGTGGCAGGTCAGTTCCGCGTCGCTACTCCGCCTGTCTTCTCTAAACCCTAAACCCCCGCATGAAGACGACTTTCCCCCTTCTCAGACGGTAGCTTCCGCTCGGGTGCTAGTTTGGTAAAAGTTCATCTGCCTCCAGCGCATGCCCGTTGCCTCGTGCGTGCTTAGAGCTTGTTGCTGCCTAGTATTACATTCTAGTACTTTTGTACGATGATAGGCAGGGCTGTCATGGGCACATTGCGTGGTTAAATTACCAAATTCGTTCTCTAGATTTCACAATTTTTTTTTTCAGCAAAGCAGAATATATAGAATAATAAGCGCCCTTAAGTATCAGTGCTGTGGGATGGTAGTGTTTCTCATGAGGCAAAAATTCGAGTTCCTGACATTGAATTTGTGCTTGCTCTGAAAATTATGATGGATATACAGCCTTGTGGGCATTGCACACATGACTTGAGAACTGTTATCCAAGATCTGTTCTTTCTATGTTTATCGTGTTAAACTCAGTTGTTCTTTTGATTCCACCAATTGGTGTGTTCTGGTGTATAATCTGGTTGGTGTTGGATCAGGCCCATGAGCAAGCCATTGTGAATGTCGTCTGGCTTCCTCCAGAGTATGGGGATGCTATAGCTTGTGCTTGTGCTGATGGGACACTGTCTTTGTGGGAGGAGGTTGCTGCTGGTCAGTTATTTCTATCCTTTTTTAGGTTTGGTTTATGCTGTTCTGTATCTGCAATTATCTTGTACTTTCATTTCACATGCTTTTGTTAGTTTTTATGTATCGAAATATTAAACAGTATCTTATGTTCATGTCAGAGAGCTTTGCGCTGTTTTTTTTGGTGGTGTGTATTAATATATTCAACAGTACCTTGTGTGCATTGTTTCCAAAAAAAATGTGAATCACTTAGCAATCGTTTAAATTTCTCTTTTTTCCTTGCTAGTCTGATGGTTACCTGAAGAACTCCTCTTGACCACAAAAGCACCTTTTACCATGGAATATTTGGATATATAGATTAATTAACAACCTCTCTTGTAGAATGAATAACAAGACTATTTTACTAGAATAGGATTGGATGGTATACGGAACCTGACCTTCAGATTACTTCAGATCCTTTTTGTATCTTGCGTTTCTGTAAACTGTAATTTAGTTTTGCAATATTTCAACAAACCACCAAAAGATACTTTCATCCTTGTCTTTTAGTCACTCACTTTCAAGTTTTTCTAAAGCTAAAAAATATGGGGGTTTATCATTCTCTGCTTGCACAAGTGCTTTTATGAGAAGTCAGTCTCAAAGCGGATGGAGGAACTTTAAAATTTCGTTTGTGTTAAGTAACATATTGAGTTATTCATTCAATCTTGACTTAAACCAAAATCAATTTTGATTTATTTATTGCTATCTTGTATTCGATTCATCAATTTATCTCTGGGTAGGCAAAAGCCCTTACTCTGAACTTTCGACTGGCAGATGATCAACTTCCAACCTGGAGAAAGTGTAAAATCTTTGAGGATGGCAACTCTCATGTACTAAATGTACATTTTGGATTACATCTGGGAAGTCTGAAAATGGTGGGTTATGACATATGATATAATGATGTTGTATTTGTACCTCATTCATTATTTCTGGTGTTTTTTTTTATTCCTATCATCTTTTTGTCTTGCTTTTTATTTTGTTATTCTATAGAAATTTATAATAGGCCTGATTTCTATTGAACAACTGGAAGCTACATAGAGTGTTTTTAAAGTGTACGATCCACACTTCTCAGACCAGAATAAGGCACACTATGGAGCATACATATTGACAAACACTAAGAGATCTAATGCAGCAAGCAAGAAGATCATACTTTTAATATCATTAGATGCCCTCCAACAGCAGCAAGCAGACAACCAAGATATTCTTTTATGTAAAGAAATGTGTTATCCTTTATTTTAGTGAACTATCTCTGATTTTGACTAATATAGACTTTTTATTCTGTTAATCTTTTACATTAATCTTCGCTTGTAATATGTTCTATGTGCCTGTCATTTTATGGTTAGTAACCTTTATTTTTCTGTATAGGTTACTGCATACTCAGATGGCCAAGTCAAGGTCTACGAGCTCTTGGATTCATTGGAATTAGACAAGTGGCAGCTTCAGGTTTATCTAGCTACTGTTAACCATTTTCAAAGTTTTAAATTATGTTGTTTTAGTTTATTCTTGATTTGCAAACCAAAGTGCCTTATGATTGGATCTTCTATAATTGGCATATGATCTTGTTTATCAAAATAAACTAATAATCCGATTCTTCACATTCTTGTAGGCAGAGTTCCAAAACATTACTGATCCAATCTCCAGATTTGGAAAACCTGCATGCACTTCTGCATCGATAGCATGGAATCCAAGAAGAGGTGGAAGCCAACAAGCTAGTTTTGCAATTGGCTTCAATTCAGATTCGCCTCATTTCAACTCTTGTAAGGTTTGTGAGATTTAGTTAACCTCTGGTTTTCCTCTTTGGTTTAGTATTGTCTGTAGAAGCTTCTTCAATACCCTAACTGGGAAACATCTTAAATTCCTATCACAACTATTCAGCAACTGATAAGAGTCCTAAGTGAAAATATGCTCATATAGAATAACTAAAAAAAAGACAGTTACCCTCTAGACTAAAGCTTATTCCTTTATTCAAGCTTCATTTATATTCCCAAAATCACTTTCTTATTGATTTTACATTTAGAGAAACTAAGAAAGAACTGTAACTTGGGGGAATTACTTTGGATGAGTCCCATGACCTTTCATGATGTGGCTCTGACTTTGTGGTTACTGTGTTGTCATATTATGTCTATTTCTTTCGTTAGTTGATGAACTGCTTTGTGGCTCCAGCAAGATTTTAATATACTGAAGATGAACAGATTTGGGAGTTTGAAGAAGCTCATCAGCGCTGGCTTCCACTTGTTGAGCTAGGTTCACCTGAGGATAAGGGAGATAGAGTGTGTGCTGTAGCATGGGCTCCTAACATTGGCAGGTATCCCTGTGATCAAGCATTATATGCCTTTATCAGCATAATTCGGTTGCTAGCTTGCTATTCTCAGTAACTCATTTCTTAATGTGGATGTTGTGGTTGGGTGATTTTTTTATGTGTAAACACCCATGATTTTCATTGTTTTTCTACTGCATGATTGCTTTGATAACAAACTGTGATTGGGCAGGAATAGACAAGTAAAATCTGACTGATAAATCTTACACTTATTGCCTACATATTGCATAAAGATCAGTACCTTACAGGTGTGTTTGATCGTATGAAATTGTTACAAGGGAATGGGTGATGGGAGTTTAGAATTGGGGAATTGTCTTGATTGTTCAGTGAACATTGGAATCAGTGGCTAGGAAAGGAATTTGAGGCTCAGCTCCCACCCTGGTCTAAAGCCAAGGGAGTTAATTAGGTTGGAATTGTTCTTAAGTGGAAGGTGGAGACATTGCAACTGTTCGTCATGACTTTAGTTACTATTGTCACAAAAAAAGACTTTAGTTACTATTTCTCACTCCCAAACCAACCAAACAGTTGAAAATGCTCTCTTTTGAAAACCCTCTCTTAGTTATCATCATATATGCAAAACAAAGAAATGAGACAAAATCAGGCTAGTTCCCCCTCTAATTCCCAACTCCTGTTCCTATGTCCCTTCACGCATACATGTTCTTAGTCAACCATTTCTTTTCCAAACCTGTTTTGCACACTTTGATGTTAGGGTCTGCCTTATGTTTGTCAATTGAATATTTCTGGCAAACATCATCCTGTGCTACCATTTCTATTCAGCCTGTAGAGGACAGCAGGAGAAAGGTCTAGGCCCTGTTTGGGATAATGAGCCAATTCTGTTGGAGAAAATCCAACCGAGGACCCCAAATGCCCAGATTTTGAGGCCACCGTCCCCCAAAGTGCGATGGACGGCAGTGGCATGTGAAGGGTGATGCGCAATCGGACGCATGGGAGCAGTGAGAAAAATCCTACCAATTCCCAGCCTCTCAATGACCAAACAACCCCCTATAGTTGGAGTGCTAGACTGAAATGAATAATCAGGCATAACTGAGATCAGTCTGCTTGATGCTTTATTGAGCTTAGAAAGTTTTAGCAATGGGGCTGTCAGAGCATCTCCAGCGGTCTCCCTATCTCAATCCCCAATGAGAAAAAAACTGTTTTTTGAGGGGTTTTGTTGCTCCAGCAGTCATCCAATCCCACGCCTAATGAAGAAAAATAATTATCATCCACACCAGTGAAGCTCCACCGTGCCATCAAAGCGGATCCATCGGAGGAGGGAGGGAGCCGGCTGGCCAATCAGGGCCCTCAGGCGAGGCTTGCGGGACGGTGCCCGAGAAGAGGGAGGGGCGAGACGTCGAAAGCCTCTTCCTCCGTGCACCGTCACGGGAGAGACTGAGAGAACAGAGGGAGAGAGAGAAAAGGATAGAGTAACTAGGGTTTTGAGGGAGAAGAGAAGGGATCTCGTCTAGCCATTATGATCCAATGGTTTATACAAACAGGAGCAGTTGAGTTGGGCCTGCCCGGTTCAGTTGGTCCGAATTCACAAGCTGGGCCAAATATAGCTGGATGAATATTGGGGTTAGATTATTGGGGTACTGCTGTAGCAACTCTCTCAAAAACCCTGAAAACAGTGATAGACCTCTCCCAATACTAGGATACTAGAGGTGAGGTATTGGGAAATCTGCTGGAGATGCTCTCATGACTGTCAACTAATACTGAGTTTAAGTGATCATACTAGAACATGGGAGACAACTGTTTCTTAAATATCTGCTTCAATGTAGCAGCTACTCTTTTAGTCTTTTTTCCTTTTAACAATACTGATATGCTTCTATTTCCTTTGATGTGCTCAATTCCAGACCATACGAGATTATCGCAGTTGCAACCTGCAAAGGAATTGCAATCTGGCATATAGGTTTGAACACTGACGCTGATAGTGGACCTTCGACACGGAACGTTGCTTTACTTAACGGCCACAATGGCGAGGTATAACTGAAACCTGTCCTTCATTTCAACACTAGGTATTTTATGCAACATTGTGGGCTTCCTGGAGAATATGGTCTTGATAGTTCCAGATCCTAGAAGTTTGAGAACTAAAATGTTTAGTAATAAGGAATATAGCATGCTTCAATCAAGTTTATAAATAAGGCTGGGCTCCAGTACTTACAGTGGATTCACCTTGGTCTGTTTTATTTGCAGTGCACACTAGACCGCATCTTTTTTTATGATTGTTTACACTTGCATCTTACATTCTGAATCTGATTAGGTGTGGCAACTGGAGTGGGACATGGGCGGTATGACACTCGCATCAACCGGAGGAGACGGCATGGTTAAGCTATGGCAGGCTAATTTGGATGGAGTTTGGCACGAGCAAGCTGTTCTTGACTGCAGTGGATCACATGTCTAGGTCCTGGTGTTTGAGAAAACATTTTTGTTCCCAGCACACTAGAAGTTGCTGCTCTTGCCGCAGAGTTCTCCAGTATTTCTTTCACTTATCCCCCATGAACTATTGTTGTGTGGTTGGTTTGGCGCTACGTATCAAAATTGGGTCATTAACGCTCGTGGGACCGCATTGAGAAGTCCAGAGAACGAAGGTACATTGGTTGTACATGTAATGGCCAATTGGGGAAGCTACACAGCGTTGAGCCTAAGCTAGTGAGTGGACGGAGGTCGAGGTCAACCACGTGCTGCACACGTGGTGCACATGTGCTCGGTGCTCATGTTCCTATAACAAATGGTTAAGGCCCTGCTCGCTAAAAAAACAAGTCAGAAACATTGTTTCGGCTGATTTGTTGTGAGAGAAAAACATTAGTTGAAAAAATAAATTGAAAAAGACGGATTATAAGAGTTCGTTTCTTGGTCAGTTCGTTTCTCTTATAATCCGTCTTATTTCGTTTCTCTTATAATCCTTTTTTTTAGCTTGTTTTTTTAGCCAGAATAGTTTTTTTTTTTCTCTCACAACAAATCAGCTGGAACAGTGTTTCGACTTGTTTTTTTCAGCGAAGTGGACAGGGCCTCATTAACCATTTGTTACAGGAACATGAGTACCGAGCACGTGGCAGCACATGGTTGACCTCGACACTTTTCAATGAGGTCCCATTAAAAGCAAAGCATAAGACGACCTTCGGTCCCCCACAGATCAGTCCAATCAAGTATTTCTTGGGCGGTATGACACTCGCATCAACCGGAGGAGACTGCATGGTTAAGCTATGGCAGGCTAATTTGGATGGAGTTTGGCATGAGCAAGCTGTTCTTGACTGCAGTGGATCACATGTCTAGGTCCTGGTGTTTGAGAAAACATTTTTGTTCCCAGCACACTAGAAGTTGCTGCTCTTGCTGCAGAGTTCTCCAGTATTTCTTTCACTTATCCCCCATGAACTATTGTTGTGTGGTTGGTTTGGCGCTACGTATCAAAATTGGGTCATTAACGCTCGTGGGACCGCATTGAAAAGTCCAGAGAATGAAGGTACATTGGTTGTACCATGTAATGGACAATTGGGGAAGCTACACAGCGTTGAGCCTAAGCCAGTGAGTGGACGGAGGTCGAGGTCAACCACGTGGTGCACACGTGGTGGTGCTCATGTTCCTGTAACAAATGGCCGTATTCGCTTCGCTGAAAAAACAAGTCGAAACGGCTAATTTGTTGTGAGAGAAAAACACTGCTCCAGCTGAAAAAACAAGCTGAAAAAGATAGATTATAAGATAAACGAGTTCGCCGGAATAGTGTTTCGTCTTGTTTTTTCTCTCATAACAAATCAGCCGGAACAATGTTTCAACTTAGTTTTTTCAGCGAAGCGAGCATGACCCAGCACCGAGCACGTGTGCACCACATGTGCAGCACGTGGTTGACCTCGACCTCCGTCCACTCACTAGCTTAGGCTCAACGCTGTGTAGCTTCCCCAATTGGCCATTACATGTACGACCAATGTATCTTCGTTCTCTGGACTTTTCCATGCGGTCCCATTAAAAGCAAAACATAAGACGACCTTCGGTCCCCCACAGATCAGTCCAATCAAGTTTATTTCATGATGTATTAGATTTAAGATTAGCGCTAGGTTTTTTCAAATGCTCTGATTTGGAGGTAGGGAGATGGGAGACGGAAATTGTGCCATATTGGGCGGATAGCCAAGGAATGATGCTGTACCATATCTACATGTCTACAAGTATATACCAACTAAAAAGGAGCCAGCATACGATACGATCAAACTTTCCTAGGCATACCTAATTTAGGTGTTTTGCACAAACCGAATGGAGCCCAGCGCATATGTGAACCCATTGTAATACTGATCCTGGCGAACCTGCAGAAGATACCACATGGCCAATACTAGTTGTGGAAATACCCATCGGTAAACCTGCTGCAGGCAAATAAGGGAAGTTACCGAAGTATTTTAATCTTCAAATGCAAGGTAAGGGACTCAGGGCAACTATATGACCTGCCTGGCGTGAATATATTTTAATTTCCATGTAACATTTTATACGCCTTTATTTAAAGCAAAAATTGCAAAGCATTGAATATTTTGTACTTCTTTGCTTAATATATGAAGAAAGAACAGAAATTGGGGCATAAGAAGAGAATTTGAGTATGGAAGATTATAAACAGGGTCTTCTATCTACTGTACTCCTACTGTTAAGTAGAAACAGAAACAGTGAAGCTCGATGTCACTGCATTGAAGAAGCTCAATTGAGTTAGCTGTCTTTTTCCATTCTGAGCCAGGTTGTTAACTGTAAACGCATCATCAAAGACACTGGATGGCACAATCTTCTTGGCCCAATGATACCGATAGGGGAGAAACATCATCCTATGGTATGGGATACTGGCACGTATGGGATATTGGCACTAGTCGTAATCGGCACAGCTAGCTCTGACAGGCAACCACCAATTCCCTCTCTTTAAAAACCTGAGGTTTGCTCATAACTCTATCTTGTGCAGCCTTAACATTCCAGGTGACAACTTCTAATGGATAGCAGCAGTGGCAGCCAGGACAAGAAATCCAAAGACAATGATCGCCGTGAAGCAAAAGGTTCACCATGTTCTTGCTTTGCTTTGTTTTGCTTTACCTTTGTTCACTGCCTCTTCTGAAGTCTGAACTTGTAGCCTTTTAGTTGATACCATTGTGTTCAAGATAATAGCTTATATGGTTTCGTTATTTTAAGGGACCTTGCACCAACATATTCTAAACCTTCATGCTTTATTTCCATGCACATGAAAACTAAAACAGATGGTGCACAGTGCCCATATAACTGAGAAAAACTGAGAGGACAAACAGGACGCCAAATTATTTACCATCAGACCACAACCTAATGAGATGCAGTATCCAGATTTAGCCCCTTCCAGTTCCAGCATACGAAAAATAGGGGGAAGTTATTCCTAAGAAAACTGCAAATTCCATCGGTGAACAGAGGATTGGTGACCATAATATATTTCTATATGGTTTGCTACTATTTTTTTCTTGCTCTCATTATCAACTATATCATTTCACACTTACTGCAGAAGCTAATAGCACTGCACAGCATTTTGTTGACTTCACGGAAGAAGAGGAAGATCTTGTTTTCAGAATGCACAGGCTTGTGGGGAACAGGTACACTATATATGTGTTACTAAAATCAGACAAAATAATGTCTTCCATTCCCCTGATTGTGTTGCTCATACAATGGCATTATGTAGGTGGGAGATTATAGCAGGAAGAATCCCAGGAAGGACAGCAGAAGAGGTAGAGATGTTCTGGTCCAAAAAACACCAGAAAAGATGAAATCGAGGCCTTAGATTTATATCGAGAATATATGCAAGTATGTGCCGATAAATAATCTCAACTAGCAAAATTGAAGAAAGCCAAACAGTATTGTTATGGCAGCTCCAACAGTGATAGTTCAACTAGCTCATACAGATTCACCTCAGCTGAAGAGCTCTCTCTTATTTCCCAGCCAGGCTCGATCAAACTACAAGGCTATTGTTGGAGCCCACGGTAGGTGTAGATGAGAGGAAAGAAATGATATGGGACCCATTATAAGATGTTTATAGTTAAATTATCGGAGAGCTTGTCTTATGTACTATTCTTTAAATGATGTAGCAAAATATGAGCCAGTTTGCTAGCTAGCTCAATCCTTGGAGATGCCCTTAGTTTGCACAAGGAGTGCTGTGGATTTGGCATTATCAAGTGAGTTAGAAGAGTTGCTGGTTTTCAGTTTGTGTACATCTTGTTATGACATGATGCCAATTTTGCAAAAAGCACAGTAAGAAAATGTATAAAACACAAGAAAATATCAATCGTGTTTTGGAAGACGTATAACAGTATAGTACGCTATAACAAAAGATGAATACAGTTGCCTCTTACAACACTTGTGTGTACCCAGCCGGCACAAATCTTCAGTAAAGCAGTTTCTCGTGGTGGATGTGAGCTGTTACCAGCTGATAGTACCAATGCTGAAAAGAACAATGCCCACAGTGCAGACAGTACCAAAAGACCATACTTCACACGCTAGTTTAATAGACACAACTCCAAACCAAAGGCATATTGAGACATTCCTATAAAACATCAAAAAAGTAGTCTAAACCTTGTCCAATCTCCCAAATCGAAAGGCCTGTTCCCCAATTCCGCGCTTCATCCAAACGTACAGAAAGTGACATCAGTGTTGGATAAAATACAGCATGTTTCACGCCTTCATCCGAATAGATGAAAAAATGCTCCAAACTTTGCTCATCCCACTGCAAAGATGGCTTGTACTTCTCAAGTAAATGAACAAAATCTCTTCCAGTGATAGCACCACCACCACTGCCTATGTGCAAACATCAATAAGACATTGGAGGTTCTTCAGTCAGTGGGAAAATGTGTGTGTGTGGGTGGGTGGGGGGGGTGGGGGATGGATTTTGCTAATATGAATAAACATGTACACAAGTGCTAGATAAGTCATAATATAATTTGATGGAAGCACCAAGTATGGCATTACACAAATACGGAAGGCTATGGAGAAAAAAATATACTATTGCTAACAACAACATAGCCTTTCAGTCCCAAGTAAATTGGGATAGGCTATAGTTGAAACCCACCAAGAGCCCCAAGTCACGGTTCAGGCACTTCAATAGCTGCTTTCCAAGTACTCCTATTCAAACATAGATCTCTAGGTATATCCCAAGCTTTCAAATATCTTTTTATTGCCTCTCCCATGTCAATTTCGGTCTTCCTTTACCTCTCCTCATATTATTAGCTTGGCTTAGGACTCCACAATCACTGGTGTCTCTGGAGGTCTCCTTTGGACATGGCCAAACCACCTCAACCGATGTTGGTCAAGCTTTTCTTCAATTGATGCTACCTCTAGGCGATCACGTATATCATCGTTCCGAACTCGGTCCATTCTTGTGTGACCGCAAATTCATCGCAATGTACGCATTTCTGCAACACTCAGTTGTTG